AATATATATATATATATATATAAATATTCTCTGAAAATAAATTGTTAGGAGACTGTAGCTGTTGCTTAAATCTTGTAAATTTTGTATTGTGTTTTTTTTTCAAGAACTTTTGAAATGTCCCATTTTTTAAAATTTCAGTTGTCTAACGTTACTCTGTATGAAAGTCCTTGCACTTCCTGAAAAAAGAAATCCTCTGACAGCTGCCACTCATTTTTGTTTGTATAAAAAACACAGGATCTACCTGGATCCTTTTACTGGTAGGTAACCTGTTTTTCAACAACTACGACCTTGAATCCAAGCATATTCAAACAACACAAACTATTTCCGTCACTGGCCCTCCCGTATGGAAACTTGAAATTCCAGTGGCCATACAGTCAACACGAGTCTCCGGTATCTTTCCATTACTTTTCCCAGACATAACAGACACCTGCTAATGGTCCGCACACAAAGGTTTACCTTGTACCTGACCCCTGGTCGTGACCTCCCAGCATGCTCCAGTGTTAGTAGAGTCAAGTTTATGGTACAGAAGGATGCCCTCCATCACTCAAAGCAAACTGAACGTCCTTAAAAGACTGCCTTCCTGTTTATGCTTGAAAGAAACAACTTGGGACCCATTATTTAGCCTGACCCGCTATAATTACAAAACAAAGGAAGGAATTAAAACAAGAAATGCTACCGATTGTGGAAGTAGAGAGCAAAAGTCCTCTCTGAGTAGGCTGGGTGGAAATTTTGTGTGAAAAAATTCTTCAATATAATGTTAAGAATGTAATTCTATAGTGACTATCTGAATCAGTAATTGAGCTAACCTCAAAATTTAGGTGTGCATTAAAAAAACAAATTTGGATGCACAAAATAGTGCAAAATAAAATGCAAGCAAACAAATTATTACAGACCTTAATGTCTCTCTTCAGAGCGTGAATTTGAAATTCTCTCTAAATAACTTGAAAATTTTGATCAGTAGATGGAGCTGTAATTTTGGTGTTGTTGTTTTGCCTTACTTTAACCTTGGCGTTGTACCTTGAGGTTTCCACGAATGCCTCAGGTGCCCATTTGCAGAAATGGAGCAAGCTGAAAGACAAGGAACTCCTGTAGAAAAAGCTACCTGTGGATTGATCACCCTCCCCGGTACAGCATGGTTCGCATTTAGGCCACAGCAAGTAAATTTTATGGATGACATCCTTCGCAGACTCCAACTCTAATGCGAGTGGGCGAAAAAAAAAACAAGGCGGGACGAAAAAAAACAAGGTTCTTACATTTTTAAATTTTGACTCAATCATTGTACTTTCATTCAGTGGGAACATCACATATACACAGCCAACATCACATATCACTGCATCAAAGTAAGAAACAAAACATTAAATCAGAGCCTTTTCTTGTCTCCTCTCTTTATAGTTATCTGCCGTCCACCTTCCGACATGGCAACAGACATGATCTTTGCCCATTTTCGGCATGGTGACCACTGTCAGAAGGCAACAAAATTTCTTTTTTCTTTTTCCAAAATTAATGTGCGTGCTGATGTCATCCATAAAAATTACTTGCTGTAGCCTAAATCCACAAAATTCCTTTATACTTGGGAGATCAAAGAACACCTATAAAAAGTCTAGCCACATTTTCTGAATTACAGTAAAAGATCTGGGATCAGAAACAACTTTTCCTGCTGTGAGTTTGCAATGTAGACTAACCATATTAGCCAGGGTTTAATTTGTAGCATGTCTTTCATCAAGAGAGTTTGTCCTTGACAGAGTGTTTCCCTTGCAGAGGTTCGGTTTCAAACTTCCCTTCTTGGGCCATTAGCTGCTACAACTTTCATAGTTAGTCTTGCCAATTTAGGGTCTCTAGAGAAAGCCCAATGGTGCTACACTGATTTGATCCCTAGGGCCACACCAACTTATTTCTCGGTTAACGGATTCACCCGCTTCGTTTTTTTCTGATTTTGAAAAAAAATTAAAATTCAGAATCAATTGCAAAATGCTCCTATTTTGCCTTGAACAGTTGAAAATAGTCCTTTTCTTCCTAGTTGTTACAGTTATTCCATCTTTCAATGCAGTGGTATCATTAAAAGTTCAAAATTTATTGTTTAGATTTTGAACCAGTCTGGTGTGTTGACTTCATGGCTCCTATTGTACCATTTTGGGCCAGAATAGGATGCCAAGGCCTGTTTTTATTTTTATTTTTTGCCCGCCCGCTCCACTATATTTCTAGAAAAATCCATTAACCAAGAAATTAAATTGGTGTGGCCTAGCATTGCTTGTCTCAATCTCTGTGTGCCACACACACAGTCACATAATTAGGGGAAGAGAAGTGAACTGCACGGAATGTTTATTATCGTCAGGATTTACAAAACATGTCGGAAAGAAGAGGAAAACAGGAAAGTTTACTTTACACTACATCATGCAGAACAGTTCACAATGCAGTGTTCGAAATACCTGCCTGCAGTCTGCAATCTGCAGATAGATTTTCAAGATTGCAGAAGAAAAAATTATACAATCTGCAATTTTGCAGAAGGAAAAATAGGCTCCAGATTCATTAGTTTTCAATTTAGCAAACCAAAACTCCCAGGCCCCA